GATTTCCCTAACGTTTTTGAAGGCTGTTGACCTTCTCGCCTTTTCAGCTTTCCGACGCTCCGAGACGGACCAAGAGGTTCCCAAGATCGCCCCACGACGGCCCTAGAAGCCCCCATGACGGCCCAAGAGGCCCCCAAGACGGCTCCGAGACGGCAGACGAGGGCCCCAAGACAGTCCAAAAGGCGCCCCAGATGGCTCAAGAGGGCCCTAAGACGGTCCCAGTAGAGGCCCAAGAGGGCGTCAACGAACCGAAAAGACTACCTTTCCGCCATGAGAAGGCCCCAGGATGCCCCAAGAAGGTCCCCGGAGGCCCCAAGAGGCCCCCAAGAGGCCCCAAGGAGACCCCCAAGAGACCCAACATCTTGTTTCCAAGAGGCCCCAAGGAACCCCACAAGAGGCCCCAAGGAGACCCCCAAGAGGCTTCTTAGAGGCCTCACGGAGATCTCCAAGAGGCCCCAAGCAGACTCCCGCAGCCGCCCGCACCAGTAATTTGGGGGCCAGCGGCAGAGGGCGAAGCCCTGATATATAGTGCAATCAGAGCTTGCCTCTGTAGGGGTCCTAGCAGATTCATATTGTTAGATGACCTTTGTCACCGATTTCCGCGGCAGGCCCGGGTGCCCGGGTGCCCAGGTGCCCGGGTGGCAAAGTGCCCAGGTGCCCATGTGCCCAGGTGCCCGGGTGCCCAGGTGCCTTGTAGCCCTATAGCCCTATAGCCCTATAGCCCTATAAGAGCCCTGTATCTCTATAGCCCAATAGCCCTATGGCCCTATAGCCCGATGGCTCTATATCCAGATTGCCCTATAGCCTTATAGCCTTGAAGCCCTATAGCCCTGTCGCCCTAGAGCCCTATAGCTCTAAAGCCCTGTAGCCTTATAGCCCTATAGCCTAATAGCCCTATAGCCTAATAGCCTAATAGCCCTATAGCCCAATAGCCCAAACACCCTATACCCCATATAGCCTTATAGCCCAATAGTCCTGCATCAAGCAAAAACCCGATTGCTCTGTAGCTTTATAGCCTAGTAGCCACATAGCCCCCATAGCCCTATAGCCCAATGGTCCTACAGCCCTATAGCCCTATAGACCTATAGACCTATGGCCCCATAGCCCTGTAGCCCCATAGCCCCATAACCCTCTAGCTATACAGCCCTATAGCCCTATGGTCTTATAGCCCTATGGCGCAATAGCCCTATAGACCTGCGTCCCGATGGCCCTATAGCCTCATAGCCCCTTAGCCCCATAGCCCTATAGCCCAATAGTCTCATAGCCCTATGGCCCTAGAAAGACTCTGATTGGGTTTTTCTCCAGTATTATGTGTATATGCGTTTGTACATTTATTTGTCCTAATACAGGTTTACATATATGTATATACATACATCTATAAATATATCTAACTGTATGTCATCACCAAGGAGGAGGAGATGAAGGAAACCCGCTGACCTCCAGGAGGGCTACCCAAGAGGCGCACCTAGGCGAACTCGACGACAGGGCAGTGGAAAGAAAACTTGGAAAAGCTCCGGTCTCGAGGGCAGCCCTGCCAATTCGCTGTTGGGCACCGCGCGAGAATATGTAGCACCCCGCAGTTGCTGAAAAGAGTAGGGGAGCGGCGAGGACGTCGGCAGCCTACGAGGCTCTGGACAATGAGCCCACCGCATGCGTCGATTTTCTCGTTAAAGCAATGAGGGTGGGTCGCGGGTGGGTGGCGGGGCGGGTCGCGGGTGGGTCGCGGATGGGTCGCGGGCAGGTCGCGGGTTGGTCGCGGGTGGGTCGCGAGCGGGTCGCGAGCGGGTCGCGGGTGGGTCTCGGGTGGGTCGCGGGCCCGGTCCCGAGGCGGACAACCGACAACAAACAGCAACCTTACAACAATCAACACCGCAGAACCCACTTCAGCCACGAGCCCATGGACCGTGAATGAGCGCGCGTACATGTTTGTTTGTTTGTAGATATGAATGTAAGAACGGATGTAAATGTACATGTATCTATGTATATATATGTGTGTGTAGAGAGAGAGAGAGAGTGAGAGAGAGAAAGACAGAGAGAGAGAGAGAGAGAGCGAGAGAGAAAGAGAAGCAACATACTCCGACGGTAGGGGCCCACATGACAATCTATTCAGATTGCCCCTCGCCCTTTTCCTCTTCGACTCGCGGAGGCCCTCCTCCCGCTGCTGCGTCCTCCTCCTCCAACTCCTCAGCATCATCCTCCTCATCATCGTCATCACCCACTTCTCGTCCTAGACCCTTTCAGTACTCATCCTCCTCCTCCTCCTCTTCTCCCTCCTCCTCCTCCTCCTCCTCCCCCTCCTCCTCTTCCTCTTCCTCCTCCTCCTCCTCCTCCTCCTCCTCCTCCTACTCCTCCTCCTCCTCCTCCCTCTCCTCCTCGTGCTCCTCCTCCTCCTCCTCCTCCTCTTCAAATTTCTCCTCTCCTCCTCTTCGTCCTTTCCCTCCTCCTCTCCCTCCTCCTCCTCCTCCTCGTCCTCCTCCTCCTCCTCCTTCTCCTCCTTCTGCCCCCCCAACCCATCTCCATCCCGCCTGTTCTCCTCATGCACCTCTCCTTCCTCCTGGCACGGGCGCGCATGCCGATTTTGCTCCGCGCCCTCGCAGCCGCGCTTGGCAGGGGCGCGTTCCCCGATGGGTTACCACCGGCGCCCCGGACGCAAGGGTTCCCCCCTGTGCCCGCTTCGGCCGAGGATGGGTTACCACCCCCGACCCGGACGCAAGGGTTACCCCCTGCGCCCGGCCGCCGCTTCCGAGGATGGGTTACCACCCCTGGCCTGGACGCTAGGGTTTCCCCCTGCGCCCAGCCGCCGTCGTCCTCCTCAACTCCTGTTCCTCCTCTTCCTCCTCATCTGATGGGTCGAGCGAGTCGCCCTTTGAAGACCACAGAACTGACCCCGCTCGGAATCGCCCGCGAGGGCTCGCATCCCCATTCACCCCTGAGGAGCCCAACAGTGACGACAGCTACGAGAACCCGGAGACTCGCTCGGATTCGAACATGGAGCTGCGGGCCCCACAGACGAGGCTCCCGCCTCACACACGACGAGGCTGCCGCCAAGACGAGGCTCCCGCCTCAAGATCTAAGCCTGAGGGGCCCGACAATAACAACAGCTACAAGTTTCCCATGACCCGCCTCGGACTCGAACATGAGGTGAGGGCGGGAAGGGGCTCCCGCCTGAGACTTCCCCGCAATTCACTCGTTGACGAGGCTCCCGCTCGAAACTTCCTCAAGATTCAAGCCGCAGGGGGCCCAAAAGTGACGACGGTTAGAAGGTTTGGATGACCTGCTCGGATTCGGTCATGAGGTGTGGGCCCCGTAGAGAAGAGGCTCCCGCCTAAGACCTCCTCACAACTCACTCACAGACGAGGCTCCCGCTTTAGCTCGAGACTTCCACAAAATTCAAGCCTCAGGGGCCACAAAGTGACGGCGGATACAAGGATTAGATGACCCAATTGCCCGCTCGGATTCGAACATGAGGTGCGGGCCCCATAGAGAAGAGGCTCCCGCCTGAGACTTCCTCACAACTCACTCACAGACGAGGCTCCCGCTTGAGACTTCCTCCATATTCAAATCTCAGGGCCCAAGAGTGACGACGGTTATAAGGTTTGGATGACCTCCTCGGAATCGAACGTGAGGTGCTGGCCCCATAGACAAGGGCTCCCGCCTGAGACTTCCTCACAATTCACTCACAGACGAGGCTTCTGCTTGATACTTCCTCCATATTCAAGCATCAGGGGGCCCAAAGTGACGAGAGTTAAAGAATTGGATGACGCACTGGACCTATATGCGGTGCGAGGCCCATGGGGAGGGAGCTCCCGCCTGAGACTTCCTCGCAACTCACTCACAGACAAGGCTCCCACTTGAGCCTACCTTAATATTCGTGGTGATGTTCGGGTGTGGGGGGTGATGGCGATGGTGGTGATGATGATGGTGATGATGATGGTCATGAGGCTTATGATAATGATGATGCTGATGATGCTGATGACGATGATGATGATGATGATGATGATGATGATGATGATGAGTGTGTGCTGTCTGTGTGATGATGACGATGATGATGATGCTGATGCTGATGCTGATGATGATGATTATGATGATGATGATGATGATGATGATGATGATGATGATGATGATGATGATGATGATGATGATGATGATGATGATGATGATGATGGTGAGTGCGGGCGGCTGATGATGGATTGATAACGGTGATGGCGAATGATGAGCATGATGATGACGATGAAGTTGACTGGTGAAGATGATGATGGCGGTGATGATGATGATGAGGATGTGTATGATGGTGATGATGATGGTGATGGGCATGCTGATGGCGATGATGATGTGGGGTGTCCCTGTTCCTGCGCGGTGGTGCCCAAAGAAAACACGAACCCCACTTAGGATGTGGGGAACAAATCCTTCGCTCCATCCCGGACCCGTGCTGGGGTTGTGAGCACGAAGCCTGTTGGATGATCGTTAGGATATCGTGGGGAGCTCTTCGGGCGCCTTCTTTGGAAGCAGGTTGGGCGTCTCTCGGGCGCCGTTCGGGGGCCTTTTGGGGTTTATTTTGGGCCTCCTGGGAACCTCCTGGGGCCTCTTGGGAGCCCCATGGGATTAGTTGGTTCGAGGACGCAAGCGGGCTCACCATCAGCAGAACCTGTCATTTCGCGGGGTCCTGGCGTCGTACTTTTGTTGCCATAGCGCGGACCCCCAGAAGTGTAGGCCGTCTTCCTGGGGCACATGTTGCATACGGACCCGTTTTTGTTGCGGTCCTGGAGCCCTATGGGGGGTCCCAGAACCAGAAAAAAGGCAACAACTACAAAAAAAGACATGGCAATTGTTTCACGGCGAAAGGAGGTATGGGTTCTCAGCCATCCTCGGTTTCTATATCCCTCCCTCCTCCTCCTCCTCCTCCTCCTCCTCGTCTTCCGCCTCCTTGTCCTTCTCCTCCCACCCACCCCTCCCCACTCGCCCCCTCTCCTACTCGTTGTCCCCCTCCGTTTCGCTGGGGCCTCGCAGTCGAAGATGATCGCGTCCGCCTCGTCGTCCGACAGCGTGGCGGAGCCCGACGAGCTCGCGTAAGCCTTCGCACTGAGGGGGAACAAAAAGATCTGGGACCTGTGCGTCGCAGCTGCTCCGCAGAGCCGTTGCCGCATACTTCTGGGCCCCTGCGACCCCCGCAGATCGACCCGGCCGAATGCAATTCCGCAGAAAACTCGGGTCGAAAGGTCCGGACGTGATGCTTCACAGTGTTTATTTCGCGACGTCGAATCTCAGGGTGGGAGGGAAAAGCGGACGAGGATGGACGGGAGCAGGCAAAGGAATAAGGGGGAGGAGCGCAGGGGAAAGGCGAAAAAAATGGATGGGAAGAAAAAGTGGAGGAGACGGAGAAGAAAGGACGGAGAAGAACGAGGCAGTGAAGGAGGAGGAGGAGGCAGCGGGGGGCAGAGGACGACGACGACGAGGGGGAACGAGGAAGACTGGAAAAGGGGGGAATGGGGGCGAGGGGGAAGAGAGCGGGAGGATACCGAGAAAGGAGGGGAGGAGCGGGAAAAGCAGGACTGCCCTGTGTACGACAGAGGCCACTGGCGGCATAAGCATGGACCCTGCAGCCTCGGGTGGGGCACGTGGGCACACCACCCTTGCAGGCGATCGTCGCGCACGCTGGGGGAAACAAAAGACGCTGTGGCCTCGGTGCCTGCACCGACGATCGCTGCCTGCGCAGCGTGCGCTCCTCCTCCTCCTCCTCCTCCTCCTCCTCCTCCTCCTCCCCTCCTCCTCCTCCTCCTCTCTCCTCCTCCTCCTCCTCCTCCTCCTTCCTCCTCCTCCTCCTCCTCTCCTCCTCCTCCTCCTCCTCCTCCTCCTCCTCCTCCTCCTCCTCCTCCTCCTCCTCCTCCTCCTCCTCCTCCTCCTCCTCCTCCTCGCCCTCCCCACCTCGGGTCGCCTACGGCCCCGGGGGAAACCGTCCAGTCATAGCTTACACGCCGAGCTCTTGTGACGTGCAGCGAGATTGTGAGAGACCTCCGGCAAACCACCCGGCTGTGCCCAGGACTTTCAGTACCTCGGCACGTGCGCACGCGGAACCGCCGACGTCGCCGACAGGGTGTGTCCTGGAGGTCAGTGGCTCCAGCGGGCGCAACCTTTAGAACGACGGGAGGCAACGTCCACGGCAGCCCATGTCGCCGCCTAACTTACCGGAGCGCCGCCTTATGGGTGACAGGTGGGGCCTGCTCCACAGCTGGCTTCGCCCCCGCCGTAACGAGCGGCAGGGGGGCACACTCCGCGGCACTCCGCGACACCAGTGGATGCTGGAGGTGTGACCATTTCCCCGTGCCTGTAACAAGGTCGCCGACATGCACACACACACACACACACGCACACACACACACACACACACACACACACACACACACACGCGCGCGGCGACACCCAGAAGACCCTGGCCCGAGGCGAGGACCGTAGTGTTCGCTAGAGCTCAGGCCCCTGAGCCTGGAGGAGGAGAGCGGAGAAGGCTGGTCATCCGATCGCATGTCCACAGGACGGGCTGGTGAGAGCCCTTGCGTCTCACGCCTTCCACCCGCTTGCGTGCCACGCGGGAGGATGAGTGAGTGGAAGAGGGGAGAGGCCAAGGGCGACGAGCAGGAGACGCGTTCCCCTTCCTCTGCTCGTCGTCGGCATCTTCCTCATCCTCAACTTCATCTTTACCCTCCCCTTCCCCCCTCACTGTTCTCCTGTTCCTCTCCTCCTGGTCCTCTTCCCCTTGTCCTCCTCCCCCTGCGCAGCTCGAGCAGGCCTGCTAGAACCTAGGAGGTGGGGCGGGATGAAAACGAGGAGGAGGGGAAGGGATTAAGCAGAGGAGGGAGAGGAGGAAGAAGGAGGAACAAGATGAATAAGAAAGGGAGGAGAAGGAGGTAAAGGAGGAAGAGAAGGAGAACGAGGGAAGGGGGGCTGTGACAAACCAGCGTGTTTTTGATGAGCGGCGCCAATCGCCGGACACACGCATCTGGCACGCACTCTGCGTTGCAACTGAAGTCTGGTGCATCTGCAGAAAATCTGAAGCATCTGCGGTGGTGGCATGTGTGCGAACCGAACGCCCTGGCGCCATATGTGAAGGCTCAACCAGCAAGGAAGGTCCGCAGGCCCATCCAGGCGGCATCACTGCATTCACTCTGGGACGAGCGCTCCATCGGCTCACTGCCAGCCCTGGCTTGGCTTGCGCTGCCTGGCGAGGCCCCGGTACCTAAGTCCACGAGCGGGGCCATAGCGCAAACCTAAAATAATCGCATCATGTTGATGCGCACTCTCGGCGAGCGCCTCCTTCTCCTCCTCCTCCTCCTTCTCCTCCTCGTTCTCCTCCTCCTCCTCCTCCTCCTCCTGCCCCTCCTCCTCCTCCTCCTCCTCCTCCTCCTCCTGCTCCCTCTCCTCCCTCTCCTCCTCCTCCTCCTCCTCCTTCTCCTCCTCCTCCTCCTCCTCCTCCTCCTCCTGCTCCTCCTTCTCCTCCTCATCCTCCTCCTTCTCCTCCACGTGCTCCTCCTTCTCCTTCTCATCCTCCCCCTCCTCCTCCTTCTCCTCCTCCTCCTCGTTTGGCGGCGCGCGACATTGGGACGTGGCCCGAGGAGGGGCGGCCTGCGAAGCAGCCTGGAAGGCCTCTAAGAAGGCAGGGTGGCTCAGCAGTGAGGGGGCCCAGGGACGCACAAATACCGTCGGGGCGTTGACCTAAGGAACCCTAAATAAGGAACAAGGCCTATTTTCTCCAGAAGTTCAACTTCGACTTCCCATCGAAAATCCAAGGATAACCTGGGCAAAAAGTGAAACAATGAAGGAACACAGAGCCCCTCCCCAACGAAAAGGGTTTCTCATTCAGAGCCCCGACTGTAAATACACACAGATCCCAAGATGCCCCATATTTTCCCGTATCGTTTGGGTGTTCGTCTTCCCCCCCACTGCCCAACTTTCCCCCCATTTTCATGGAAACCAACGTTTGATTGTGTCTGTGTGTGTTTCCCCCTCCTGAGCCAGAGGCCCTCCCGGCTTGCAAGAGGCCTTCTCAAAGCCCCCAGGCCCTCCCAGTACCGATGAGACAGAAGACTCGGGTTCGGAGGACTCGGGTTGGCCTGACGGGGCCATCATGAACATGTCGAGGCCCAGTCCGAAATCTAACGCGAACTCCTGCTCCAAACGTCCCATGAAAATTGGACCGTCAAAATCCAAGACGAAGCCAGGAGAAAAACAACATCGGGTGATCATACATCGAAAATATCTGAGATCCGGCGGCTGTGGGAGATGTCTCGGGCGCCGCGACCTTCTCAGAACGTTCTGGATTGCTCTCAGAGCGTTCTGGAACGCTCTCAAACGAAATCGCCCTCGCCCCAGCCTCGTCCGACCCCGGGCCCGTCGTAGCCTGGCTTCCAGGACTCGCGGGTGCACAGAACTCCCTCTCGCAGAGCACCCTCTCGCGACGGCTGCCGGGGGCACGCCACGTGCGCACGGCGCCGCCCTCAGGACGCCCCCCGACGGGGCCGCCAAAGCAACCGCACTTGCCCAGCGAAGCACGCGCCGAGGCGCGGAAGCGACTGGGGGCTGCGGCGGCACAGTTTTTTTGGTCTGCGGGTCGAGAGCGAGCCTCTTCCGGTTAAGAGCTAGGCGGGCCGCGCAAAGCACTAATTGGGGAGACAGGGCGCGGGCGGGGCCTGAGGCGGCCGGAGGGCGCGGGGTGCAGGCGGTGCCGAAGAGCTTGCACAGGAAAAGGTACGCCTTGGACAGGAGCCGGGGGCGAAGTCTCGGAGGGTGAGCGGTGTGGTGTTGCCGCTGCAACGGCACAGTCGAGAGTGCCGCTGTCGAGCGAATCCCCGCGCAGGCTTCCTCGATCGCGCTGCCTCGGGGGGGGGGGGGGGCGGGCGCGCTGTCAACGGGGGGCGCCGCGCCCGGAGGTAGGGGGAGGAGGAGGAGGAGAGGAGGAGGAGGAGGAGGAGGAGAGAGGAGGAGGAGGAGGGGGAGGAGGAGAAGGAGGAGGAGGAGGAGGAAAAGGAAAAGGAGGAGGAGGAAAAGGAGGAGGAGGAAAAGGAGGATGAAAAGGAGGAGGAGGAAAAGGAGGAGGAGGAGGAAAAGGAGGAGGAGGAAAAGAAGAAGGATGCCTCTTAGAGGGCGCCAGCCCCACATCTACAGACAAGGCCCGCGCCTTCCAAGAAGCAGGGGTGCTCCCAAGAAGCCTTCGCCCCTCGCCTTACCCCTCCCCTCTGCGCGTTGCAGAACCAGTGCCCGATAGAAGGCCCCGCCCTCTTGAATGCCGCCCCCCTCGGGACACCCCCCCTGTGTGCGCTGCCGACCCCCGTCGTCTTGAAAACCTGTGCCACGAACTACCGTCGCGCCTGTAGGGCGCGCGCGCGCCTGCGCCGCGGGGGCGCTCACAGAGCGCCCAACACCTCGGCCGCGAAGCCCTCCTTGTCCACCACCTCCGGCCAGAACGCCTGGACCTTCTGCTCCTCGTCGATGAGGACCGCCCACCGCTTGGCCCCGCCGTAGAGCGCGGGCAGGGACCGGCCGGGGTCGGACACGAGAGGATACGGGAATCCGAACTTGGCCTTCCAGGCGCGGTTGTCCTCCGGCGTGTCGGCGGAGGCGCCCAGGATCTGGGTGTTCTTCTCCCGGAACCTTGAAGTGGCCCAGGGGCACACGAGTAAATTGACATGGGTCCCAGGATCTCCCATCATTCCCCATGTTTTCTCGGCTTCCGTCTCTCCCCACACTTTCTATATGTTCCTGCATTCTCCTGGGAATCGACGATTCATTGTGTGTGCGCGTCTGTGCCCCTCCTGGAACCTGTCAGCCAGCTCAGCGAGGCCAAGGCCCTGCTTGGTTCAGCCGCCAGTGTCCGCCTTGGGGTACCACCACAGGAGGAGCTTCGAGCCCGAGAAGCTGGACAGGGTGACCTCTTGGAGCGCCCGAAGCGTGGACGGCATCACGGGGGACGCCGCTCGACGACGGATGTAGTTCGAGATTGGTGGCGGGCGCTGTTGGGCAGACGACAGGCGCCACGAGCGGTGGACAACAGCGGATCCGGCCGCGAAACCTGCCCTCAAATGAGCACGAACTGCTGCCGGACCTCTTCCCCATCAGTTGCGTCCCTTGTTGCTCGGAGGTCGACAGAGGTGGCCCTGGCCCTCGCCCAGGGCGGCCCCAGATCTTCCAGGAAGGCCGAGGTGGCCGCCAGAGCACGCCGGCACCATCTCGAGAAACGACGCGAGGCCGCTGGAATCTGAGGGGAGGGGCACCCTCGGCAGGCATTCCATCTGGCATCCTTCACATCGGTTGGCGGCCTAGAAATTGGCACCAACACCAATACAGGGGGTTGCCTCCGCAGGGGGAAGATGATCCTAGATTTCGGTGTTGGTGGTAATAGTTTGGCCACCTTGGAAGCCAGAATATTACCACCATCACCGAGATCGGGATCGTCTTCCCTCGGTGGAGGCACACCGCCGATCTTGGTGTTGGTGTCAACTTCTGGGCCTGCGAATCGGGGCGGACGAGAAGATGGAACAGCGAATGCGCCAGCAAACAGTCTCCAGCAGGCGGCTTCCCTGGCGCCCCCTGGCGCCGGACGCGCCAAAGATAGTGCGTGGCGGCGCAGCCAGAAGCCGGCTGCGCGCCGCAGAGGAGTTCGTCCGGGCCCCGAAGCCCAGACACCCGGCGGACTGAGCCTTGCTCAACCCGCGGCCCCAGAGGTCACACGACCACTTGCCCCGCGGGCAGTCTGTCGTGCCATGTCCACTCGCGCTCGAAAACGGGCACTGCAGGCCAAGCCCTCACACACGGCGCCTGGATGCAAACATCCACTCCGCCCGAACAGCGGGGCTGTCGTCCGCCCCGACGCTCGGCAGGCCCTCGGCGAGGGGCAGCGACGCGGGGGGGGACCGGCCCAGGCGGAGGACCATTGACGAACGGACAACACGCACCCATACCCGTAGGGGGTTCGTTGGGAGGAGGGCTGGCTATGGGTATGGGTGCGGGTTGTCGGACCCTGGGGAACGCTCCCGCACGAGCGGGGACCCCCATCCGACAACACGCACCCATAGCCCTCTCCGATCCCCCCATGGGTATGGGTGTGTGTGTGTGCTGTTAGTTCGTCAACCATCGCCTTGGAATCGAACACGGCAGGCTCTCCACCGCGAAGCCGCTCCCTCCTTGGGCAGGACGCGCGGGCACCGAGGCCACGACGATGGGCGAGGAATGTGGGCCACGGGAGGTCGATGCTCCCTATAGGAGCCGACACCGCCAACAAAAGCACCGTGCAACATCACGACCGCAGCCCTCGACCCCACCTTTGTGTTGTCTTGCTCGAGCCAGACCGCCCCGACAGGGCGCCCCGGAAACAGCAGGGCCGTTTTTTTCACCGTTTCCAGACAAATGTCCCTTGAAAATGGAAACGGCAAAAAACGGCGACCGGATACGGTAACAAAAACGGCTCCAAGATTGGAACTGGAGATGGAACCGGTCAAAAAACGGCGACTGAACCGGTAAAAAAACGGCGTCGGAACCGGCAACAAAAACGGCAAAACGGAACCGGTAACAAAACGGCCCTGTCGTTTCCAGGGCCCACTAAGGGCCCCATGGCACGCATCCGGGCGACGACGCCTGGAAAAAGCAAATCCGCCGCGCCCGGATCTCAGGGCTGCCCCCCGTAGCCAATCGTTCACCCCCCCGGACGCGGAACCAGGGAGGAGGAGCAGGGATGGGGGGGGGGGAGGAGAGGAGGAAAGGAGGACCAGTGTAAACCCAAGACGCATCAACGATGTGGGAAAAGCACTCTCTCCAATAACCCCGTTCATAGGCCCCTGCCAAAAATGTGTTCGTTGCGGGCAGTACGTACGTCAGTGGGAGACAACCGTCTGAGAATCCCCAATCGTGGCAGAACACCAGTCTGACAACTCAGCGCAGCGAATCAGCGCGACTGCTTCGTCCTCACAATCCCAGATCGTGCCCAAACGCCGCTCCTGACACTCCAGCGCCGCGAATCGACCTGGCTCTCGCGTCCTGGCATGTCTGAGCCGAACAAGAGCACCACCACTGGGACTCCTTAGTGGGCCCCGGAAACGGCGGGGCCGTTTTTTCACCGTTTCCAAAGAAATATTCCTTGAACATGGAAACGGCAAAAAAACGGCGACCGGAAATTCCCCAAAAACGGCTCCAAATTGGAACCGGAGCCGGAACCGGTCAAAAAACGGCGACGGAACCGGTAAAAAAACGGCGTCGGAACCGGCAATAAAACGGCAAAACGGAACCGGTAAAAAACCGGCCCTGTCGTTTCCAGGGCCCACTAAGGACTCAACCATACGAACATCTGAAACTGCTGCAAGCTGTTGGAACGAATGTGCCCGGCACTGGCGCGAGAGCCACACTGTGAGCAGGAACGACCCATCCATCCTCGAAGATGCTGCAGACTCTTCGGCCGAATGTGCGCGGCGCGGAGGCGAGAGCCACACACTGTGAGCAGGAGCAGCCCCCCATCCTCGAAGCTGCTGCAAACTCTTCGGCCGAATGTGCGCGGCGCGGGGGCGAGAGCCACACACTGTGAGCAGGAGCAGCCCCCCATCCTTGAAGCTGCTGCAAACTCTCGAAACGACGGTGCGCGGCACTGGGGCCAGAGCCAGATCTCGAAGACGGCCCGCCCGGCCGCCCGCCCTCCTGGAGGCTACGGCAGGCTTTCAAAAACGACGCTGCGCAGCGCGGAAGCGAGGGAGCCACGTCGAAAAAACGACCCGCCCTCCATCCTTGCAGCGATTCCAGCCGTAAGCCCCGTGATCACAAACACGAGGGAGCCTCCTGCGAAACGCCCAGCCTGGACCACCGACACTTTTTTGATCTGCAGGGCGAGAGCGAACCTCTTCCGCTGAAAGCTAAGCGGGACGCGCACAGCTTTTATTTAGCAGAGAAAGGGCGGAAGACGGCGGGGCCTCACGCGAGGACCGCCGACACACGCCAGGGGGGGGGGGCGACAGGGAGGCGTTGCTCGCAAGACGCAGGGACGGAAGGGCAGGAGCACCGAGGAGGGAGGAGGAACGTGCGGCGCCCAGGGAGTCGGCGCCCCCGACGCCCAGACACCCGACGTGGTCATTTCGCTCACCACGGCGACCCCAGGAGGAGGAGGAGGAGGAGGAGGAGGAGGAGGAGGAGGAGGAGGAGGAGAGGAGGGGGGGAGGAGGAGGAGGAGGAGCGGAGGAGTAGGAGGGTCTGGACCCCCTTCCCCGGGACCGGTGTCTCGTCCCGCGTCGCTGTTTCCCGGCCCCGAGGCCGGGGAAGGGCCCCCGCGGATGCCGAACATCGCGGAGGCCCTCCCGTCGTGTGATTATTTCACGGCGCGAGGGGGCCTGGGGAGAGGAGGGCGGGAGAACGTGCGCCCGCAGGGAGTTGGCGGCCCCGCCTCGGACCTCCTTCCCGCCTCGATCCCCTCGCTCTCCTCGATCCTCTCGACTCGATCCCCCTGATCTCCTCGACCTCCTCGACCTCCTCGATCACATCGATCTCTACATATATATATATATATATATATATATAATTTCTGGATATAGGCCGGGGAAGGGCCCCCGCGGATGCCGAACATCGCGGAGGCCCTCCCGTCGTGTGATTATTTCACGGCGCGAGGGGGCCTGGGGAGAGGAGGGCGGGAGAACGTGCGCCCGCAGGGAGTTGGCGGCCCCGCCTCGGACCTCCTTCCCGCCTCGATCCCCTCGCTCTCCTCGATCCTCTCGACTCGATCCCCCTGATCTCCTCGACCTCCTCGACCTCCTCGATCACATCGATCTCGCCGCCACCGCCGCGGCCGCCCCGCGCCACCGCGCCGGCCGCGCATTCGCGGCCCGGCGGCGGCGCCCCGGGCCGCGCGCCCCCCGCCAGCCGCGCGCACCGCCGCCGCCGCCCGCCGCCCACGCCACGGCCGCCAGCGCCGCCGCCGCCAGCGCGGCGAGGCCGCCGCGCCGCGGCGGCGCGGGGCGGCGCCGCGCCGCCGCGCCCGGGGGGCGCGCCATGTGGGGCCCGCGGGCCGCGCCCGGCGCGCCATGTGGGGCCCGCGGGGGGGCGCCGGGCGCCTCGAGGGCCGATAGGGGGGGCTGCGGCTTGCCCGGGGTCGGGCAGGTCCCTCGACAGGCGGGAGATCCAGACTTGGTTCTGAGAGTAAATCGTCGGGGGCCGATGTGTCCGCTGTGGTGAACTGCTGTCGGGCATTTTTGGACTCCTTTCGATTTCTCTCTTCCAAGCTCCGCCTGGAGGAGGACGTGCCCGACCGAAAGTTTGTGGGCTCCGGGTGGCGGCGGGCGACTCCTCGCACCATGAGAGGAGCAGCCGACAACAACATCGGCGCGAGCTCGTTTGGCCAAGGTCGGCCTCCCGGCGGGCCCTCCCCAGGGCCCATATGGGGCAGTCGAGGCGCGGCTCGGGATGAGACGCGGGTCCGAAGGGGGGGGTCCAGATTTCTGGGGATCCAGACCTGCTGGGCCGATTTCCCACCACCACAACCACATGTAGGACGGGAGACAAGGGAGGATGAGGAGGTGCTCCTCCTCCCCCTCCTCCCCCTCCTCTCCTCCTCCTCCTCCTCCTCCCTCCTCCTCCTCCTCCTCCTCCTCCTCCTCCTCCTCCTCCTCCTCCTCCTCTTCCTCCTCCTCCTCCTGCTCCTCCTCCTCCTCCTGCTCCTCCTCCTCCTCCTCCCTCTCCTAAATATGGTGGTGGTGCTGGAAAATGGGCCCGTCAAGACCGGTGATTAAAAAACACCACGTCAAAGATCGGGGGGGGAATACACGCAGCGGCCGCTGCCGCGGGCATCCGGGCGTTCGACGTCGAGAGGCTTGCCGCGGGGGGAGGCAAGGAGGGCGGGCGAACTGGGGTGGAGTGGGGCGGATCGGCCGCGAGCGAGGGGGGGGAATGAGGAGGAGAAGGCCTTCTCAGCAGGCGGTGGGAGAGAAGTCCTCGCGCCTTCGGAAAGGTTCCGGCGTCTTCGGGGAAGGCTTGGACAACTTCTCAGAAGGCCGGGAGACTTCCGAGCCTTCTGAAAAGGGCCGCCCCTCCTCACTTCCCCCCGGGCTCGCCGCTGAGCGGAAGCAGGAGGGGAGGACGAGGAAGGAAGGATGGGAAGGAAGGAGGAGCTTCAGACTGGAGCCGAGCTGTTCTGAACGCGTGGCGTGCAGAGGCGCATCGGCGCGCAACCGAGCACCGGTTGGCCCGCTGCGCAGTGGATGGGACGTGACAGACATCACCCCCTGAGGTACCTCTGGGACCAACCAGAGGGGGGGGCGCCAGCGCGAAGAGGAAGAGAGGGGGGGGGGGGGCAGCGGGCAGAGGCAGGAGCAGGAACGTCGATGAGAGGTAGGTGCTGGCGCGGCCGATCGGCAAAGCTGAGCATGGTGGGCTGGTTGTCCACCGCCACCACCAGGAGTAGGAGGGGGAGGAGGTCCTCCTCCTCCTCCTCCTCCTCCTCCTCCTCCTCCTCTTCGTCCTTCTTCTCCTCCCCTCCTCCTCCTCCTCCTCCTCCTCCTCCTCCTCCTCCTCCTCCTCCTCCTCCTCTTGCTTCCCCCCTCCAACTTCTGGTGTGCTGGTGGGAAGCAGGCTTATCAGAGCACAGCGCTGCTGGGATGCCGCGCGCCCAGCAGCAGCAGTGCTCGAGTGCATACCATTTCGCCCTGGGTCTCGAGGTCGGCTGTGCCAGGATGGCCATCATGTTGAAGGTCCCGTTCCCCCTCCCCCTCCTCCCCCCCTCCTCCTCCTTCTCCTCCTCCTCCTCCTGCTCCTCCTCCTCCCTTAATGTTGAAGGTCTCGTTGTGCAGCAGAGAGCGGGTGCACGGGCGTCACATAGCCGTGCGGATGTGGCATTCTGGTGCGGCGATCCTGGTCCCTGAAGGATGGAGAGACAGGGAGGAATCATCAAGAACCGATGGGCGGTGACCCGATCCCATCTCAGCCGCGAGCCGTGGAGAGGAGGAGGAGGAGGAGGAGGAGGAGGAGGACGCACAAAAATGTGGGAGCGCGGCCGTGTGGTGGCTGAGCCCGTCATGCCAAGCTACCTTGCCAGTGGGATCCCCAGCCGTACACCGCAGGGGCCACTCGCAACGAGTCCCATCGACGGGGTCCTGACGCACAGTGCGAAATTCGAAACATTGTGGACGACCCTATGGCGCCCATTGCCGCGCCCGTTCGCGCGCAAAGCGGACATAATGATTCTCCCTCACATGGCGCTCTTGGGAGCTAGTGGTCGCTATTGAGCGATATGAGCGCTCTTCGGCGCTGATGGGTGCTGTTTGGCGCTATTGAACGCCTTTCTCTAAGATGCATTCAATCCCAGACGGGCGGACTGTTCCCTGATGCACTACCTAACGACAGCGCAAAAGCAGGGCACGATCACGGATGCGACTCCCGGTGCACCTCGTCGCAGACGGTGGGTCCCCGACCAGAGTGGAGGGCCCTTCGTGGCAGGGGGAAGCACCCGGTCAGTGCGAACAAGCGGAAGGGAGAGATGGAGCCTGCGTCGGCGGCGTGCGCGAGGAAGTGGAGCGAGCGGCGGGGCCTCCGGAGACTGCGGGGGGCCTCTCAGAAGGCGCAGGCCTTCTCGGGGAACGGCCTGTGGATGTTCAAGCAGGTGTCTTGGAAGCCCGCCCCTTTTTTATCCCAACACGCAGAGCATGCGCATCTGAGCTGCAGCTTGTCATCCCACGCGTGCGCGGCATGTTCGAGCAAGAAGCAGCGCGTAGCTCCACAGGGCGCCAGCTCCCAGGAGGGAGAGCCCGTCTTGCACAGCCCCAGCTGCTGACCCGACAGTCCCACAAGAGCCGAGCGGCTCTCTCAATCGGGCGAAGCTGGGGCTCAGGCGACGAGGGGTGGAAACCGCGTGCCCTGGGCAGAAATGTGACGGATGGGCGCGGCGGGGGGCTGCGGGCGACGTCGGGCGCGGACGGCGGGAGGTCGCGCCCCGGAAGAAGCCCCGCCAAGGAGGCCGCGGGGAAGGCTGCAGCTGGGCCCGGGGGCAGAGGGTCAAGGCCGCCGGGGGCGTAGAGCGTGCAACAACTTCGAAGATGGAGCACCGCTGGTTTACAAAATGAGGCCCTCGCCTCAGCGCCGCGCGCATTCGCCTGAAAGAACTGCAACAACCGCCTTGGTGGATGGGGGGGCGTCCTGAAAATGGAGGTCTCGCGTTCGCGTCGATCGCAGTCGTGAGACAAAGGCGTGTGGCAATTACGAAGATGGAGGACGGCTCCGTGTACAAATATGAAGCTTCCGCATCCGACGTCTTCAAGGTGGAACACCGGAAACTTGCACATGCGAAACAGCTGCACGGATGGAAGGCTGGTCGTGTCTTGCTCCGTCCACAATGGGGATATCGCTCGAGACTCCCTCGAGGTCCATGGCCAAAGGTGTAACCCCTGCGGAACAGGCGCACTGACTGTGGGCAATTCTTCTCGGAAACGGAAGCTCGTTGGACACCCCGCGGAACCGGATGATGCCCCTTCCGCAGTCCGTACCACTCCATAGGGGGGTGCAGGGCAGCTCCTCATGACAACGGGACTCTGGACTGGAGGACAGGTCCACAGGGTGCTGGTCTTTCAAGAGGCGCCTCTTGCCTCCTTCCTCCCCACACCTCCTCTTCTCGCTCCTGCTCCTCATCCTCTTCCCATTCCTGGCATGCCCAATCGAGCGACACCAGAGGGGAACGGAACACAAATGCCAGAGGGAAATCCCTGAATAGGAAAAATATCGAGCCAAATTGGAAGGAAGAACGGGATGCGTGGGAGAATGAGCAGGAACGGCTTGGTTCGGTTTCTATTCGCATGAACTTGGTTCTAGGGTAAGCTACGAAGTTCGAGTGAGCTCAAATCTCGACCGGGGTTTCTGGAGAAGTAGCGGCAGCTGGGGAACAAATAATATTGAGAAGGCGAGGAAAGGGAGGACCCTTCTCGTCCCCCCCTCCCCCTCTTCCTCCTCCTCCACCTCTCTTTCCTCCTCTTCTTCAGAAGACTGCTTACCAAATGGGGCTGTCAAGTCGAGGTGGCCGCGAACCGTCGTGCAAACTAGGATGTTTTTTTTTCCCAACCCTCCCTTGGTCGGGTTATCGTTTTGAACAGAGCAGTGGGGTCGCCATCTCCCTCCTCCTTCTCCTCCTCCTCCCCCGGCTCTTCTCTCGGCTCTCTCCTCTCGCATCCCTTCTGGGGGCTGTAAAGTATTAAACTGTCGCCACTCTCGGGGGCTGCTGGGAGGGCCAGCACGACAGGGTCCCAACCAGACCCAAACGGACTTCCGAGCGCTGTTGGGGGGGGCCAGCACACTGGGATTCTACGCAGACCTAAATGGGACCTCGCTGTCCATGAGGGGTTGCGAAGTCTCAAACTGTCGCCACTTTCGACAGCGCCAGGGGGGCCAGCACAATGGGGTCCCAGGCAAATTCCAAACGGAACCTCGCCATCCCTTGGGGGGCTGCGAAGTGTGAAACTTTCGCCACGTTCGAGGGCTGCTGGGGGACCAACACAATAGGGTCTCGTGCAAACCCAAACGGGACCTTGCCATCCCTGGGGGGGCTGCGAAGTGTGGAACTGTCGCGGGCTGCGAAATGTGGAACTGTCGCCACTTTTGAGGGCTGTTGGGGGGGCCAGCACACTGGGGTTCCACGCAACTTCCAAGCGGGACCTCGCCATCCCTGCATGGGGGGGGCTGAGAAGTGTGAAACTGTCGCCACTCGAGAGGGCTGCTTCTGGGGGAGCCTGCACAATGGGACCCCACGCAAATCCAAACAGGACCCGGCCATCCCTGGGAGGCTGCGAAGTGTGAAACCGTCGCCGATTTCGAGGGCTGCTGGGCGGGGCAGCACAGTGGGTGTAACGCAGATTGAACTGGAACCACACCATCCCTGGGAAGCTGCAGAATGTGAAACCGTCGCCACTTTCGAGGGCTGCTGGGGGAGCCGCACAATGGGGTCCCACGCCGATCCCCAAACGACCTCGCCATAATCTCGCTGCTTCTGCCGAGGTGATTGTTCTTCCACCCCGATGTCTCCCCTTTGCTTCTCCTTCCCACTCTATGCCTCCTGGCCTTTAGTACCTCTGTTCTGAGAGTCGGCCACACACACACACACATCGTGCGATATATATATATATATAGAGAGAGAGACACATATATATATATATATATATATATATGTATAGGTCTATGTATATGTATTCACTGCGCACTGTCTCATGCAGCGTTGCTATCACATTATTGTCGGCACACCTTACAGTATCCCTTGGTGGCGAGTGGTTGGGTACGTCGCAAGATCATGTTCCTATGATCGGAATCCCTTGCTCCGCCCTTTCCGTTTGGGGAGTGACGACGAGGATGCTGATGATGCAGATGAGACGGATGGAATCTTACGGCAGGAAGGTGCCATGGATAAGCAGAGCGAGGCATGTCAAACGAGGTCGAGTTGCACCATCCACGCGCTACCCTCGCCGCCTCTGAACGACCCCCCCCTCCTTCTGAACGACGAAACGTAGCCGACAGACTAGGGCTCGAGGCTTCACCTAACAGATCGCAAAGCAAACATGCGAAGAACTGGACTGGCAAGCCTTGACGAACGTCCGCTTCTTGTCAAGCTCGTCGTCGCAACAGGTCTGCAAGACGAAAGTCAAATCCTCTGAGCAATTCGCTACGGCAAAATCATGGATGAGACGCACAGAGTGCGAATGATGGGACGAACCATTAGCTTGCTAAGGGACGGCAAGGACAGACGAGCACGAGAAGCATGAATAACGGACGTGGACAAACATAAGTGCACATGGCCGACTCCAGAATCCCTGATCTGTATGTACATTTATATATATACATATATATATATATATATGCACACGAAACTACATACACAGAAGGCCCTGCGACGAATTTCGCCTGTACCCAGGGAGAGTGGCCGAGTAGAAAGTCGCTGGCCATCTGATAATTTAACCACGGCCACCCTCGCCTGAGACCCAGGAATTATCCTTTGGAGCGTGCCTGTATCTACGTTTGTGGCGGATTACTGCCGCCGCCACCCGCCAGCATCCGCTGGAGGACCCGCTGCCGTTTGCCTTCAGCGGGCTTCTGATGGCAAACGCGCCGAAGGCGAGGGAGCTTTGTATGATCAAATATGGGGCGGGCGCGAGATCAGCTGCGAAGACGTGACGTCGGGGACAAGTAGCGCGCGAAAGTTGACGAAGGTCGTCGCCTTTCTGCGAACGCATGCGCCACGAAAAGCGGGCAAGGGGACATGCGACGCGGAAGCGTCGCTGAAGCCCGGCGTTGTGTAGTCCCCATAACTCATTCTCTCCTTCCTCTGCTCAGCCTTCTCATTCTTATGGTATCCTTTATTGCCCTCTTCATACCGCCCCTTCCCTCCAACTCCTCCCTCCATTCCATCATCCCTCCTTCTCCTCTCTATCTCCCTCCCCACCTCAGCAGAGGGAAGTGAGGCCACCACCGGGGAAGTGGCTGAGCCGCAGCCAGCCAAGGAGGGGAACTGCGGAAAGACGACCCCACGGGTATGCCGCCCCACCGCGCGCCTCCCGAACCACCACCGCAAGGGGCCGTACACTGAAGGGGCCTCGGTGGGCCCCCCCCTCCCCATCGTTTGTTGCTGGTCTGTTCCCAACCATCCTGTGGTGTTGGGTCCTCGTTTTGAAGAGACGGTGCCCCGCGTCTCCTTCCTTCCTCCTCCTCCCGCTGCCTCCTCCCTCCGCCCTCCTCTCCCTCGTTGCCTCTGCTCACGGCGCACCCCTCACACGTTTCGTAACCCCATAGGGCCCAGTGGCGCAGTTCGCATGCGTCTCCCCCATCCAGGACAATGCTTCGTGGCCCCATAGGGACCTCCACCGAGGGTCCCAGTGGCGCAGTTCGCATGCGTCTCCCCCACCCAGGACAGCGCTTCGTGGCCCCATTGGGAGCCCCACCGAGGGCCCCAGTGGCGCAGTTCGCATGCGTCTCCCCCTACCCAGGACAGCGTTTCGTGGCCCCATAGGGAGCTCCACCGAAGGCCCCAGTGGCGCAGTTCGCACGCGTCTCCCCCATCCACGACAACGTTTCGTGGCCCCGTAGGAAGCACCACCGAAGCCCCAGTGGCGCAGTTCGCATGCGTCTCCCCGCCCAGGACAACGCTTCGTGGCCCCATAAGGAGCCCCACCGAGGGTACCAGTGGCGCAGTTCGCATGCGTCCCCCCCACCCAGGACAACGTTCGTGCCCCATAGGGAGCTCCACCGAGGGTCCCAGTGGCGCAGTTCGCATGCGTCTCCCCCAGCCAACGCTTCGTGGCCCCATAGGGAGCCCCACCGAAGGCCCCATTGGTTCGCCTGCGTCTCCCCTACCCAGGACAGCGCTTCGTGTCCCCATATGGAGCTCCACCGAGGGTCCCAGTTTGCGCAGTTCGCATGCGTCTCCCCCCTCCCCCACCCAGGACAGTGTTTCGTGGCCCCATAGGGGGCTCCACCGAAGGCCCCAGTGGCGCAGTTCGCATGCGTCTCCCCCGCCCGGGACAACCTTTTCGTGGCCCCATAGGGAGCCCCACCGAGGGCCCCAATGGCGCAGTTCGCATGCGTCTCCCCCCATCCAGGACAACGATTCGTGGCCCCATAGGGAGCTCCACCGAGGGTCCCAGTTGCGCAGTTCGCATGCGTCTCCCCCTATCCAAGACAGCGTTTCGTGGCCCCATAGGGAGCCCCACCGAAGGCCCCAGTGGCGCAGTTCGCATGCGTCTCCCCCACCCAGGACAGCGCTTCGTGGCCCCATAGGGGGCTCCACCGAGGGTCCCAGTGGCGCAGTTCGCATGCGCCTCCCCCACCCAGGACAACCTTTTCGTGGCCCCATCGGGAGCTCCACCGAAGGCCCCAGTGGCGCAGTTCGCATTCGTCTCCCCCACCCAGGACAACGTTTCGTGGCCCCATAGGGAGCCCCACCGAAGGTCCCAGTGGCGCAGTTCGCATGCGTCCCCCCCCACCCAGGACAACTTTTCGTGGCCCCATAGGGAGCTCCACCGAAGGCCCCAGTGGCGCAGTTCGCATGCGTCTCCCCCACCCAGGCCAGCCTTTCGTAGCCCCATAAGGGGCCCCACCGAAGTCCCAGTGGCGCAGTTCGCACACGTCTCCCCAATCCAGGACAGCGCTTCGTGGCCCCATGTGGAGCTCCACCGAAGGCCACAGCTGCACTCGCATGCGTCTCCCCCATCCAGGACAGCGTTTCGTTGCCCCTCAGGGAGCTCAACCGAAAGCCCCAGTGCCGCAGTTCGCATGCCTCTCCACCCACCAAGGACAGCGTTTCGTGACCCCATAGGGAGCTCCACCGAAGGCAACAGTTGCTGCACTCACATGCGTCTCCCCTACCCAGGACAGCCTTTCGCGGCCCACATGGATCTCCACCGATTGCGATACTCACAACGACGGTACTCACAACTGCATATGGTTGGGTCCTTCGCCAGGCCAGTTATGTTTTTGTGCTCTAGTTTTTGTTTGGCCCCCTCTCCCCCTCGAGGCAACTGCGAGGCGGGGATTCATCCATATCCACCGCCGGGGGACCGACGTCCTGGTGCCCCAGCGGGCGGCGGATATGGATACACACTTCGGCCCCCGGGTGGTCCGAATTTCACCATAATATCCACCGCCTGCCGAGGCTCCGAAAACTGACCCTCCAGGCGGTGGATCTGGATCAATTCCCCCCTCGAGGCAACGCCCACCGAGGGTTCTGGGCTGCACGTGTGCACGCCCCTGCACGGGCAGAGAGCCCGGGTCCGCGGCAGCACTGGCCGGGCCGGCCCCAGCGTGTCTTGGACGCTCCCGGCCTGCGCCTGCCCGCAGCCCGCACCGCCGCAATGCGCGGACGGCCTCAGCGGCAGCCGGCTCCGCGACGCCGGCCCCGCCGGCCACGCGCGCGGGCGGACGCCGCCTCGAGGCGCGCGGCATCGCGTGCCGCGGCCCTGCGAGGGCCTTCGCCCGCGCCCAGGTCGCCCTCCGTGGTGCGCTTCTGACCGGTTCTGGGACGGGGGCACCAGCCTCGAAAGCCAACGGCCCACCCAACGGGCCTGCCTGCGAGCAAAGCAAGGGGAGAGGTAACACGATGTTTTTGTCGCCAGCGCGGGCGACACACAGCACCACGCTGTTGCTTCGGCCACCGCCACGCCGCTGGCTAACGCGGGAAACAGCCGCAACAGCAAGTGCCGCACGAGGTGCTGCTACGCTACCGGCGCCATGGGAAACGCTGACGGCCTCCCACGACCTGCCAACAGCAGCCAGTCTGGCGGACAAACCACAACGGCATGGGATGTCCACCAGCTGCAGAAACCAACGACGATGGCCCCCCGGTCAGCTCCGTGCCAGCCGAGCGGCGTAACATGAATGTCGTTCACGCCCTACGTGCCGCCATGAACGACACGAGCACAGGCCATCAGACATCCAACTCACCGACGACGTTCCCGAACGGCTTGATGACAAGGGTGCAAAAGGGTTACGGATCCCGACTGCCCCCAAGCAGAGCGCCCTCTGGCGAAGGAAATGGTGGCACCGGGACCGACGTACACCAATTCTGAAGCCCACGTCGCAGACCACATGGGCAGGGACGACCTCATTCAACAACCCGACATGGACGTTGGCCCCGCCGACGACCCAAAAGAGGATCCCGACGACGGGGGAAGCTTAGTGCAGACATGTAAGGCCGAAGGCCTTAGGGGGACGCGTCGAGTGCGCTTGCCGCGTGCGGATGGACGAGGCTGACGCTGCCGGCGACGTGGACAAGATCGCTGGGAGGAGGAGGAGGCGGCGGCGGAGGAGGAGGAGGAGGAAGAGGAGGAGGAGGAGGAGCAGGAGCAGGAGGGAGGAGGAAGAGGAGGAAGCGGCGCACGCTGTCCAAGCGGATCTCTGCGGCAAATGCCCGCCGCGCAAACGTAGACCCGACTGGACACGGCAAAACTCTGCGCCTCAAGCATGCCGGCGCCGCCCCACTCGCTCGAAACCTGAACATGGAGCAGCCAATCGGTCCGCAGTCGCGCTCAACAAGCTCTCGCGACCACTCAGAACCATCAAAAAGGGTCTAGCACCCCGCCGGGGAGGAGGAGGAGGAGGGGGAGGAGGAGGAGGAGAAGGAGGAGGAGGAGGAGGAGGAGGAGGAGGAGGAGGGGAGGGGGAGGGGGAGGGGGGGATGGAGGGGGAGGGGGAGGGGAGGGGGAGTGGGAGGGGGAGGGGGAAGGGGAAGGGGGAGGGAGAGGGGGAGGGGATGCCCAGGCGAGCGCGGCGCCGGCCATCCTAGAACTTGGAAGCAGATCAAGCGCCTGGGCGGCGGCGGATGTCCTCGATTAGCGCGGCCTTTCCAACTGGCCTGAGGGAAGTTCCGCGCGTCGGGGACTGCAGCGAACTCCGGACCGACCACAAACAGCATAAACTGGTCGCCTCCACGGACGCACAGGGAGACTCAGAGACGCCAACAAAACCAACCCCATCAGTGCGAACCAGCGACGGAGGCAGAGCGAAATGCCAATAGGGCAAAGCTGCCGAAAACTTCAGCACCGTCAACCTGCGCACCACCCGCAGCGGACCCTCGCACGCGCAACCATGAACAGCGGGAGCGAAGAGCGCAAAGGCGGAGACGCGTCGGGAGATGGAAACGCGAACAACGCTCAGTCACACTCCAGCGAAGCCTCAGCCACCGCCCCGATCGACTCCGCCACGGACAACGAAGGTGACGCTGAGAACCCAGACAGCTCCTACGTAAACCGACCACAATGCAATCCCTGCTGACGCCAGAACCACGCCCAAACTCATGACGGACACGCGGGGACCCATTCTGGGCAGATGCCGAAACGCCGGGCCCCGTTCGGACGAGGCCGCCCCAACGCGGGAGGACTGCAGCACGGAGTGCCACCCGGAGCTCCCCGCGCCAGCGCCAGCCCACTCATTCGCCCTGGCCGACGGAGCCCTCGTGCAACTCAGCAGGACCCGACCCGCCGCCGGGGCGCAGGTGGGCAGGAGGAGGAGGAGGAGGAGGAGGAGGAGGAGGAGGAGAAAGAGGAGGGGGGGGGGGGGGCAGGTGGACCACCGAAAAAAAACCAGACGTGCCCCGACGGCGTGCTCTCTGCCCCGCCGCCGGAAGGCGCCGAGGGGACGCTGCAGAGCGCGGGGACGCCGGGCCGAGCCCTGGCGCTGCAGGTGGAGTGCGCGCGCCGCCTTTTATAATCCCTCCGGCACAGGCTACGCCTGGGCCCGTAAACTTGTTTCAGCTACCTCGTTAATGCGGGATGACGATTAATAAGAAAAATGGGAGAGAACTATTAAACAAATAGTTTCCTGCTATTTCTGCAAAATTTTCGGACTGGGGGAGAACGATTACAAAGAGCAGTTCTCCAGCCCGCGGCCGGTTTTTTCTAATCGTCATCTTGGGCGCCGCCGCGTGAACACGACCCCCCGTCATTTATTAATCGTCATCCTCCATTACGGGCATCAGCCTTGCATTCGCGCTGTGCGTCGGACGCCCTCCCGGCACGGTGCCAGTCGGGAGACGCTTCTACGATAGAGACCGGAGATACGTCCGCACGAGTGGCCTGCTCCAGACCCTTGGATCGCACGCGCGGGCACCTGCAGGGCAGCCCCTTCTCCCTTGGCGACATCCAGCTCATCGCCTCGCTCATCGAGCACAACTTTTGTCGACGACAGCAACTCCATGGCCCCCGCTGGCAAAGGGCTCCAAATGTCGCTCGACGAGACACTCCTTTCGACCGTTTGTCTGGCCAGGACATCCACTCTGGCACAGCCTTCGGCCGGGCAGCGGGCGACGAGACACGCCGCCTGGTGGCCGCCCTCCATCTGCGCGGGCACCCGTTGCAAGGTCACCGCCGGGCGAAGCCGGCGGGGAGCTACATCAACGTTGCACACGTCACAGACCATGCCCACTTGAACTTCAGAACTGCTGAGGACAGGGCGCGACGAGCCGCTGCCAGACTCCCGCGCATCGGGCGACTCCCAGCAAACACTCAATCGAGAGCTCGGTCCGCGCAAGGCCCATGGTTGCCAGCGCGCGCACCGCCGGCACCGACATCCAAGCGACCAGCCAAAGAGCGAGAAACCTAGACAAGAACGCGGCGTGCCGCCGGAAGGCCCAAAGACAATCCTCAATCTTTCAAGGGGCCCGGACGCAATCCTCGATTTGGGCGCGCCATTGCACTAGGTGCCACCGCGCACAGCGAAACGTCGCTCGGGCCGAGAAGACATGCGCGGAGAGACACGAGTCTCACCGCCAAGGCCGAAGATCGACGAGGCCATCCGCAAACCTTCCGCGGAGGAGGCCCATCGGGTAGACTTTGCCAAAGCACTGCCCGACTCCTCGACTGGATCTCGCCGGCGCACGGAAGGACGCACGACGGCTGGGACTCCCCCCTGTCGCGGGTCCACCTGCCAGCGGGGCTGCTCGCGGCGTCACAGGCGCGGTCCATCCTGCGACGCAACCCGACTACCAGGCACGACGTGGGCACCGCTGCTGCGGTCAAGCAAGGTTTCGGTTTCTTCGTCAACGCGTGGTTGCTCCAGACGAATGGCAAGGCCAACAGGCACCGCGCGGCAACTCGGTCTCCTCTGCAGCCACCTCTGCGGGGGCGGCCGCACGTGGGGGCCGCCGTCAGCAGGTCCCCAGCCTTGCTGAAGCCGCTGAAGGCCGAGAACTCCTCGGGACTCATCTTGTCCTTGGAGCTGGCTGAGTCGGCCTCCCGCAACCGATCGTGGTAGCTCCACTCGATAGCCTGCGCCCGCCGAAAGATCGCCTCGGCGAAAGCACAGTTGCTGAGGTCCAGCTGGTCGTAGGTGCCAGCCAGCTCGATGTACTTCATGAGCTGCTCGTGCTCCTGCACCCCCCACTGCTCCGACTGGAGCCGCGCCGTCGTCTTGAACATCAGGTGATGATCCGTGGGGGTGTGCCGCCGCCGCAAGAAGTCCAAGCACCACCAAGCAGAACGAGGCCCCGCCACTGGGAAGTCGCCGAAGGGCTCCTCCTCACAGGCGCCGCAGAGAAACGTCGAGGCTGGCAGCTCTGCCGACCCACTTCCCCCGATGGTGAAACCAAGACAAATAACAAAAGTGGCGCACCGCCTGGAAATGCCCGCGCCGGTGATCCGGCAGGACTGCTATGGAAACCATGTTCACCGAGCAACGCCGGCGCTGCCGCCGCGCACTACACACTGCTCGAGGAAGAGCCCCAGCACCATAATCTCCGAGCTGCCGTTGCCGAGGATGCGCTCCCGCAGCTCATTCCCAAGGCCCCGATCGACGACGCGCACGAAGAGTGCACCGGAGACGACGGGGCCGGGGGGGGTGTACGCTGCCGCCGATGGCGCAGACCACGGGGCCGGGGCCCACTGGCCCAGAACCGGCTCAACCTTTCAGCTCGAATGCGCAGTCTGGCGCAGGCCGCGCAGAGGGACGGGACTCTGGCCATGCTGCATGTCGTCGCGACCGCCGAACGGCCTGCTCAGATGTCTGTCGGCAACCACATGCGGCCGTGGATGGATTCGCAGACCTCCTCCGCGGTGAACTACCGCAGCGCGCGAGTGACCAGACCTCTGGCAGAATACCCCATCGTGGCCTCTGGGCCAAACCAGACAATTGCAAAGCAGAAAGCCACCCGGGTGAGCAAGGCGTCAAAGAGGGGCGCATCGCGCCGATTGCGGAGGCGTTCAACCGCCATGCAGATGAACCCGCCACGTCTGGCGCACGCCTGCACGGCGCAGAGGAAGTCCTCACCGACGCTGCTAAATGACGACGTACGTTCGCGGCCGTCCTTCACAGTTCGGCTGTCGCCGTTTATGACCAGCGTCACCTAACGCCCTGCAAGATAGAGAAGCGTGCCACTCAAGAGCTGAACTCAGCAGTGGGAAGCCCAGACTCCTCACTGGGGTTAGAGTACAAAGGTACAGAACCCCTGATCCGCTGGTAGAGGAAAGGAGGGAAATATGGATATCTTTTCCTCCTGCACGATCAAAGGTCTGATCGATCTATTCCAGTACCTGAGCCCAAACGGCCAGGCGCAGGAGAGGTGAGGATAAGGAGTATATATGAGGGTATTATACGGGTTCTATTCACACTCACTTCTGGCCGTGGCGGCCATGAGCCACCAGGCTCACAAGGCGGCCCCGCTGACCCCGACGGCCCACCAGGACACGACGACCTCGGCCACCTCGACGATCCGTGGGCGGGCCTGCTCGACAACATCGGCTGCGCGGAACAAGACCCGCCAGGCCTTGGCGCCTCCCTCAGCGGAGGCGAAGGTAACGACGGCCGTGACACGGTCCTATAATCGACAACGCGAGCGCGCCACATCGGCGGGCCGACTTGCCCCATCTCTCGAGCGCACCTCCAGGAAGAGTCAGCTCCCCTGCTTGACGGGACCCACCGAGCAGAGGCGAAGGTAACGAGACGCCCCCTCCCAGCGTCTCCGCGGACCCGAAACCCACCACAAAGCACGCGGCGATCACCGCGAAGTGAGCCGGCCGAGACTGCCTCGACGGCCAGGAGCCAGCCGCCCACGGTCGACGGGAGCCGGCCGCCACTTTCAGCCCCCCGCGTCACCACCAGGCCAGCGCCTCCTCCCATGCAGGTGCGGATGGCAGCGAACGGCCGGTGACCGCCGTCGGCACAGTGCTCGGTGCGACGGGGGCCCAGCGAGCAGACCGACACAAGTCTCAGCGGCCAGCCGGCAGCCCGAGGGCGACCGTGAAGCGGTCCTGATCGAAAACGCGAGCGCGCTGCATCAGCGGGCCGACTTGCCCAATCTCTCGAGCGCACCTCCAGGGACAGTCAGCTCACCTGCTTGACAGGACCCACCGAGCACGAGCTGCCTGGGACGGCCTCCAGCAGGCCTTCTGGCCTGCCGCGTCCCGCCAGGGCCGCCTCCAGGCCCTCCTTGCTGCTCAGCGCGCGGCCAACCAGTGCAGTGCTCGCGCCCCTCCTCGCCCAGCGGGTTCCTCGAATGCCTGGCTCCTGCTCCGTTGCCCTCTTACTGGGCCGCCGCGAGGGCTGCCCCAAGGTGGCACCGCCGCTGCCTGGGCGCTGCATCGCGCATGCCAGGACCGTGCGCACAGCGAATATCGCTCTCCGTCCGTGGTCGTACAGAAGAGGCGGACCTCGCCCTTGTCACCACCACCCGTTTTCGGTTTCCAGCCGGGGTCTTCCCAGACTGCGCGGAAGAGGGAGGGTAGCTGTCCCCACCCCCGTTCCCAAGCGGCGCTTCCCGCAACAAGAGGTGGGAGCGGCAGGCGCTAACCGCCCTCGCGCCCGGACGGACCTTCCACCCGAACTGTTCGGCTCTCTCTCTCTCTCTCTCTCTTTTTCTATCTCTGCTCCCTGCTGTTTCCCTCATCCCCGCTGCGCGCTCTGGGACGGGGTCGCTTCCCTTGACAGCTGATCCCAGTGCCCCTCCTCCCTCCCTGCTCTCCTCCATACCCCTCCCTCCCCACCACCTTCCATCCCGGCTCCCTCCCTCCTCCATCCTCTGCCCTTCCATCTCCACCATCCCACGCCCACCCTGCCTCCTCCCACCCCTTTTCCGTACGCCTCCCCTTTCCGCCCGCCCACCCCTGTCCTCCGTCCCTCCCCTCCAACTTCTGCCTCCTCCTCCTCCTCCTCCTCCTCCTCCTCCTCCTCCTCCCTCTTTCCTCCGTCCCATCGTCGCGCCTCCGTCGCCGTTTCCCACTTTTCTTTGTCCCCCACGCCTCTTCCCCCTACTTCAGCTCCATCACTCCCCCTTCTTTCTCCTCCTCCTCCTCCTTCTCCTCCTCCTCCTCCTCCTCTTCCCCTCCAACGGAACTGCTGCTGGAAACCAACAGGCCTGCCTCAAGTGCTGCAAGGCTCTGCTTGAAATTGTGCGGCGCGCGCGGGAAGACCCTCGCGCACCGAAAAACCGAGTCTTGCGCGCTTGCGAATGAGCAATAGAAGGAGGAGGAAGGAAAGAACGGAGGAGTCCGGGTCACCCATCTTCCTGCGTCGCGCTCCGCTATGTCCAACTCGCGGTTCTGTCCGCACCTTCGCGAGGCCACCTTGGAAAACGGCAGCTCTCCAGCCGAGGCCGCGGAGCGCGAAGCGAGATCCTTTTCGGGCCCCAGCGGGTGACCTAGGGAGCGGTCAGAGAGAGAGGGAGGGAGAAGAAGGAGCAATGAGACAGATGATTAAGAAAAAGGGGCTTACGATGAGAGGGAGGAAGGAGGGTGAAGACGGGAGGTGGAGTAATCAAGGAACAGGATGGAGGGAGTGAGGGAGGAGGGAGAAGGGGGGAGTGTGGAGAGGAGGGGGAGAAAAAGAAGGGGGAGGAAGAGCAGGAGGTTGACAAGGACCAGCAGCAGCAGGAGCGGGAGCAGGGGTCAGGGGGGGGCAGCGGGATCGGACTCGGAGGGGGGATGCAAATTGAAGGCCCGAGGGTTGATAGCGCAGGAGAAACGAAGGGAAAGGGCACCGAAGGACAGAGATGGGAAGTGTCCTCCTCCTTCTCGTCATTTTCCTCCTACTCCCCCTCCTCCTCCTTCTCCTCCTCCTCCTCCACCTCTTCCCCCCCAGTATTCCCTACTCCTCCCTCGGACCTCCTCCTTGCCACGCGAGCGCGGAGGACGAGAAAGCCTTGAGAGACGAGCTCGGGCGGGGAAAGACGAATGCTCGCCAGCAGGAAGACAAAAAAACTAGCAACCCTGTGTGAGACACCGGGAGCTTTATCGCCCAACCCTCCTTCTCCTTGACATGGACCTCCAACTGCCCCTTCCACCACCCCACCTTCCTTCCCTTGTCCACTTTAACCATTCCGTCCAAATCACGAACACCGTGCGCCTCCATCGCCCTTCCTCTCACTTCTCTCTCCGATTCGCATCTCCGTTACCCCCCCCCTCTCCTCTCGTTCCCACTCCCTCCTGCCACACCGTGCCCACCCCCTCCACTCCACCCTCATCCACCCTCACCACCATCGCCTCCAGCCGTCCTAAGCACTCGCGCTTGCCTTCCCTCCCTCCCAATTCCCCCTCCCCTTATCCGTTCTCCTTCTTCGTATGTACTTCTACTTTGCCACCTAGGCAGCCGATGGCAAAACAACAAACATCAACCGTCCCCCCCTCAACCTGGACGTCCTGTCGTGGGCGCTGCAGAGTGCGTGGCGGGGGCGGAGTGCGGCGCGCGTCCCGCGCGAGAGGAGGAAGTGCTGCTCTCCCCGGGGCTCCGCACAGCTCTCCCGAGAGAGTGGAGCCCGCTCCGTGCTGCGGCGCGCATCTTTTGCTCTCCATCATGACATACACATAAAAACCTTCCAGAGGTCCGCGCGGACTTCTTGGATCGGCGCTGGACCCCCCCGCCCTGGCGCGCGGCGCGCGCCAGGGGCGGCGCCGGAGGCGCCTCCAGGGGGGTCCAGCGCCGAGCCGAGGAACCCGCGCGGACCTCCGAGTTGTTATGTCTATGCCAGTGTGCGCTCCCCTATGTCTACGCCTACGCCAGTGCGCGCTCCCCGAACTCCGCCGGCGCGCGCGCGGGCCCTCGTCGTCGCTCTCGCCGCGCGGGCGTCGCCCTCCTGCCCCGGCGAGTCGGCGCGCAGCCTTCGGCGCAGCACGCCCCCTCGCCCGATGTTGTTCCCGTCCTACTGGAGGACCGCATCCCAGAAATAATTCCGAGCACCCGGAGAAGTGTCGAAAAGAGTGTCGGAACAGTGTCGGGCGAGTGTCTCCCAGGGCCCGACACGTGAAAACGCCGGAGTCTCGGTACTCTTTCGGGGCGCTCGAAAGTCTTCCTGGCGATCAAGGCTAAAGCGGGTTGGAGCATCATAGCCCTCGCCAAAGAATGGGGTGCTCGGGCCGCGCGCGCGCATTCGACACGCCGCCCTCGCCGCCCCCTCTCCGCGGAGAGCCGTCGCTGCAGAGGGCGGCGCCCC